CTGGGACTCTTGAATTTATTTCTATCTTGTGAAGTTACCTCAGTGAGATGAACAGAGGATACCTCAACACTGAGTGGTTAGAGCACTTTCCAGCCAGGAGGAAGATTTCAATCACCTCTGGCAATGGTAGAGTCTGGATTTAAGTCTCTTGCCTTCTACCTGACTGCTCTAACCTCAAGGCTACTATAAAAACAACAGCATAACCAGACCCACAGCCTTAAAAGAAAGGATGGTTTCTAGTCCATTTTGTAGGGAGTATGATCCTGTTGGTCTATGTGCTGTGCGTTTTGTGTACTCACTCGTGGGATATACAGGGATTTAACCTAGGAACTGCTGTTTTCTGGATCCTTGATGGGTTTTAGCAGGAGTTAAGTGCAAAGATCCTTAGATGTGTCAAGGTCAGGGCAGTTCTGAGCATACACAGACATACAATGCTAGATGCCTGAGTAAGGTGGCAGTTGAATAGTGGGTTTTAGAACTGAATTTTAAATAGAGGTATTAAATTCTGCTGAAATCCTAACTTTAGGGACCAAAGTCCTTTTTTGGGTCAGCCTGGCACTGGTCTCCAATACAATAAAAAAGTCATAGTCACATTATTAGTTGCGAGCATAGTGCTCTGATTTCCCTAAGGACCCAATATTTTTTGTATTCTGTCTGTTGCTGTCGTGTTTTTTCTTCTCACCTCATAAATGATGTATTAGGCAGAATAGAAAAGTTGCACACTTTCTCTACAGAATTTACACCCACAGCTATGCTGTCTTTCAGTCTGGTCTTGGTCTCTCTAAAGAAAACATCCTCAGGTGAACTCCACTATCATCCAGAGTCTGAATCATGGATTGGCCTTCTCATTTACTCTCTTTGGAAATACTGTTCTCCCAGTTTTGATCACAAAGTTTTCCTTTTGCAAACACAGCAACTAAATGAACATCCAAGCAAGCTAACATTTTTTTTTTTAAAAAAAAACAACTTTTAACAGTTAATTTTTTAATTAGCATTTAACTTTTAATTCACTTTTTGTAGCTGGAAATCAGTGGAAGAAGCCAGCACCTTGTGATCAACCAGGCTCCCATGAAATAGCAAGTACTTTGTGGACCATGGTCTAAAAATCTCTGGTCTAAGGTATCTGTATGAGTCTAGGCACCAAATGTTCAGATAGAAGTACAAGGAAGCACATCTCCAAAGTCATGCAATTGTTCTTCAGGGCCAATTAAAAAAATACAGTTCTTCTTCAGTATTGCTAGCACTTCTTCCCAACTGGCCTGCCAAAGTGTTTCACTTTATTTCAAAAGCACAGATTCCAGAGGTGGTTACACCTTCAGTCTTCAGCATTGGTCTCAAACACAAAAGAAACAGGTGATTTTCCAAAGTCCCTGTGGTCAAGAATGACAATAGTTTCAACTCCTTTAATTCCCTTTCTGGCAGCAGCACTAAATTGGAAGGCAAATTCAAGCCATTCAGTTGGTACTTGGACATTCTTTAGTTAGATTGAAAAGTGTTCATGATTGTAACCTTTGTTTTTATGACTTAGTGTTGTATGTTAATGTCCTAAACAGAGGCTAGCATTCAAACAGCATAATGAATTCATAATGTCTGTCATTCATAATTTTCTTTTTTCTTGTGTTAAACTCACTAACTTCTATCAAATGACTTTCTAGTCTTGCAAATCTCCCACTGGACTCCTTTGAACTACTACTACAGTCATTACATAATTGTTACCTTCTTCCCACAAAAAACCTTTCCTCCCTTTTTTGAAATCCAAACATGTCATACAAGGTGACATTGGCACATTTCAGCCTTCTTTAAATGACACTAAGGCTGACCTATCTTTCATTAAAGACAGACTGACAACAGGGATGTACCATCTCACCAGGGTCCATCCTCATTTCCTTGTGCAATTAAAATTGCTGTGGCTAACGGATATACAAAAGATGTATAACTCCTCAAAGTGAGAGTGAGCAAAAGGTTTTAAAATTTGGGTTGTGTAACATTAGGGTTTTAGCCTCTTAAAACGTGTATTCAGGTGTTAGATTGAGGGTTTTGTGTGTGTGTGTGCGCACACACATAGATATATCATCTTGGCAATATGTATGAAGGTTGTCAAGAAGCTCTGAGCTCTGTGCAGAATTGCAATTTGGGAGCGGAAGAGGTATATTTATGCTGAGTCACGGCTTGACAGTTTCTATTTCTCACTCCTTTTTACTAATTTTATTTTTAAGAAAAGATTTTTATCTCTGTCTGTATAATCTTTATTTCCACTGTTGATTATTTCACAGTGCAGTGAAGCCCACAGATTTTAGCAGCAATACGTTAATATTAAGTGTACGTCAACATAAGAAAAGACTACAGAAATGGGAACCTAAAAGGCCAGGGAAAAATCAAGGTGGAGAATATTCTAGTAAGGACATTGGTCAACAGCTTAAAGTTTAAGAGAGCGGATAATGATAGAAACCCTTCAAAATTCACATTAACTGTCTCAGTACACTCTGTATATGTCAAAACAATATTGCACTGATGGGAAACACATATTATCATATAAGTCTTCCATGAACAACATTTAAGTGGTCTAGACTGCCTAAATGAGAATGTTTGTGTCACAGACTGATTGTACATGCCCTTCCCTTAAATATGGGTTGGAAACTGTGAAAGAAGATGCTTTCTCCTAAAGAAGTGGACAACTAGGGAATGAGGAGACATGCTAGTGACCCAGGAGGGAAAAACCAAGCTCTGGTCTGGAAACCAAACAACTGCAGAGAACTGAGTCTGCGCTCATCAGTCGTGCGAGGAGGCAAGAGCTACATATAAGCAACAAGGACCTACAGTCATGATTTGGTGTATCTACTTGCCTTCTGGAGTAGAGCTGTTTTCTGACCTGCCAGTTCATGCTATAGGCATGCTATAGTTAGTAAACGACTGTACCTGGCAAAATAAGCATGCCCACAGACTGCTATTGGATAACACTGCCTTCTGCAGGATGTACAGAGTCACTGGAGTATGTCTGTTAGGTACTAGCCTGAATTCAGTTATCTATTAGTTTTTTTTTAACGTTGTTGAGCAGCAAATTGGGGTGCAGCAAATGATGGTGAAACTGGCTTCCCAAAGGAATAGAAAATGCTCTTTGCTAAAGTATGTGAATGTGCTTTGATCTTTTCTTTGTTTGATCAAATATTTATTTTTTTGGACATGGGGGAGAAAAAGGGGGTATGATTTTTGATTAAAAAATGTTTGTTATCTTCAAAGAAATAAGATCTAAAGGTTTTGAAAATGAAACATAGCAGCCTCATTTCAAGGCTCCCTTCCATGAGGCTGTCTGCTATATAAGGCTACATCAACTCAACTTTGAATTGAGGTACATCACTCATCACTTCATACCATCCTTAAATAAAATAAAGCAAACCCATAGAAGTTTGGCACCTGAGGACAGCTATGTCATGAAGGAGAGAGCCAATACAGTGTGCGTTTAGGGTCTGACTTACAAGTTCTACGTAACTACACCTATCAAAAATTATTTAGCTTCTATTCAAACTTTAAAACTCTTCCCTGCCTGTATAAAAAAAGTGCTGTGACAGTATGAAGTGCACTAAATTGTACTACCTTGATATAGGAAAAAAATATGAGGAATCCCCTTGCTTCTTCTGTGAGTTGCTAAGAAACAAAGAAAGACTCTGTTGGTTCATATCTCATTAGGTCTTCTCTATTTTAACCATTATGCTGTATTGCTTTGAAAGTATTTTTTCTTTTTTTTTTCTTTTTTTTTTTTTTTTTGTCACAGTTCATAGCTGCAAGGCATCAGCAGCTAAATAAAGTTAAAATTGTTGCTTATTAAAGAGTAGCTAAATCACCTCTAAGCAGATTTTGACACAGGTTTTTTTCCCCTATATATGAATCATGATTAGGACAACCTTTCCACTGACAGTTAGCATTCATCATAATCCAGATTGGTCTCCTAGAATTCTGTCATTCAAAATATTGAGAAAATGCTGTTCCTTACAAGCAAAGACTATGGGAGCCCAAATAAGTATTTTAACTGGTAATGTTAGCATATCAACGTCCATAAAAATGTGTTAATTTCAATAGGGAGTGCAGCTATAATATAGCTTGGTAGTGCTGCTAGAAAGAGAATATTCACCTCAACAACTTGCCCTGATAAGGGAATTACAAAACAGTACTCCAGAAAATATTTTTTGCTACTTCATTATTAGTTGGCAACATGGTGAAATAGTCAGGAAATCTTCCTTGGGTTTTGTTGCTGTGAAGGTGAATCCAATGTTAACAAATCGAATTTTTGATACTGATAGAAGAGAATTTCATAAACAAATGTAAAGGTTGAGAAGTCACTTGTAAAGCCCTCCATATTGCAGTCACTCACTGCAAAGCCTCAGCTTAGTGTTATCCACGTGTAACGTATCACGGACACAATATGCTTCAGCAAAAAGTTTGGTAGTTATTGAACATACATTACTGATTTTTGAGATCTTCATAGAAAAAAAAAGAAAGAATGCTTGACAGGTTGGTCCCAGATTTGAGTCTGTTAGAAAATGTACATTCAATGTTTGGTCTTCTATTCTTGATAAAAGATCAAGGTTCACTTCTGGGTAAGGAATCAGAGTAAACAAACAAACCATTGTACAGTTGTTTACAATCTAGTTTCCCCCCTGCCCTGTATATTGTACACACGGTTCATTGTAATACTAAAGCAAAGCACTTGGTATGTAACTGATTTAACAGACTCCTTATAAGCCCTCAAAAATAGATTCAGTGTTTCTGAAAAGCCCATGTTTTTTTAAGGCCACGATAATCTGCCAAGAGTCATTTTGTCTTTAAAACAGCATAATTAATCTGATGTTTCCACTTCTCGAGTAATTCCTCTTCCTCTCTGTTTCTCACAAGATGACCCAACGCCTCTCGCTCTATATGCGTAAACACTGGAGATCTTGAAGGCTCGGATGTCCCCTCACTACTTGCTTGTAGTCATTGAGATCCAACGTTGTCTTGAACTACATTCACAACGAAGAAGAACTTTGAGTATAATCTCTGATGAGGAGCGTGTCATACTTTGGGGAGGACGGGATACAGAGAGCTGATTCGGAAACTGGAGAGCTGGGAGATGCGCTTCCAGAATCAATGGAGTCTCTAAAAGGAGAAGGAGGAGTTAAAGCTACCAACTCCTCAAGGTCTTGCTTGGCTGACGGGGTCTCTGAAGTGCCTTCTTTGATGCTGCCATTTGAAGGTTTCCTAGCTGACTGCGAAGCGCCATTGACTTCAATGGCAGGGAGCGGTTGGATCTCTGCGAATGTGGTCATTGTTGTAGGGAGCTGGATTTCCCGTGGAATCAGGTATGAAGAGCAGAGAGGAGTGGCCACCATTGTCCCTGGAGTGGCTGTTGAAAGCATCATAGAGTTCAGCTCGCTGATGTTGGCTGTAAAGCGAGTAACCACGCTACTGATCTGCTCCATGAGGGAGCCTTGAGAGGAGCTACTTCGCTGAGGAGGCTCTGACTGGAAGGTAGGGGCATCATCTTCTGTTCGGCTAACGGAGGCAGTTCTGTGGCTCAGGGTGCTGATAGGTGAGGGAGTCTGCGGTCGGTACGGAGCTGGGTATTGCTCTTCTGCTTCTGAAACGTCGTAAAGTGTTTTGGCACTGGCCTCAGGAAATGTAGCGCTGCTACTATGTCGGCTACTATCTGTGCTTTTAGAAAAAGGCTTGATCACTGCAGTTTGATTGGAGTTCTCTTTTTTGTTGATGTGGATTGACAACCGCTGCCAAAGGTGTGCTCCTCTGCTGCTTTTCTCATTCTGGGCCCAGGAAACTGATTTCCCATTAGAGCTGTAAACAGAAATGAGATAAGATGGTAACTTGCATCAAAGTTAAAAATATAATCACTGTTCCTATACCATGGGTATGTGGTATCCCAGAGCCTATATTCATCATAAAGCTGACTGTAATTTCATCTGTATCTTTATCTATATCTATCTATTGCAATATACCTATGTCTATCATTTATGCCTGTATTTTCTAGGAAAATAAGCAGAGTGTGCCAGCTCATTTCACAGACCATTTGTGCATCCAGCCGTGACCTACTCTGTGCTAGCTCATGGCCACTGCTGACACCTCTGTTGCTGCCCTTGAGACAGAGGCAGCATCCATCTTGGGGGAGGGAGTTGCTTGATGGCTTCCACTCTGTTGGACTGGCGTCAGGAAGGGGAGCTGTGGGACTGAGGAAGGCATGGAGGAGTGAGGAAGAAGTAAATGCTTGAAGGGAATAGGTGGCTGGATTGCAGGGGGGCAAGTGTGCAGGTTGACCTGGGAGCATTCAGTGATAAGGAGTTTGGTGTAGGGTGCTGGTCATGGATTCCTGGTATGGGGCAGGGAGTGTAGATTGGGAGATGGAGAAATGCAGTCTGATATGACTGGTAAAAAAATTCGTTTATATCCCACCACTTGGAAGTACCGGAGTAATACTCAGAAAGGGGCTATACCGGTTGTGGGTGGGGAGACACTTCTAATGGGTGACTTCATCGAGGTACTTGGTAAGTTAGCCACCACTAGCTTAAAGAAATTAATTTTTTTAATTGCAGGTCAGATTGGAGAATAAAACTGTAATCCTAGTAGGAAAGAAATAATGGAAAAGCTATACAAGCAGCTCCTCACGGTGACCTGATTTTGGAGACAGCAATAAACGTTTTGGTTCACTCCCCTACAAAATGAGTCCTCCTACAGTAATTTCTCTTCGATCCCATCATACCCTGCTTTTTATCAAAGTTGCTCATTTTTCTCCTCTCGCTACCTAAGAAAAGCCAGCTGTGGCACTTATAAACACATAGTATGAAACCACTCCTTTCCTTTTACATCTTCCTTAGGCTGGTGAGCTGGTGTTTATACATACATTAATCTATAGTTCTTGGGATTAAGAAAGACCATTAGAAATATTTCTTAGCTGAAACAGACAATGACTGAAATGATATCAACAGGAAAAGCAGTCTCCACATACAAATAAGCAGATTTATATATAAAATGCAACAGAACTTTAAACAATTCACTTTTGTTTCCAAAACATTTGCTACAGCCATTTAGGATTTTTGGAAAGACAACCACATTGGAGACCCTGGCAGACTATCACAAATTGTTTGTTTGCTTTTTAAGCCAGAGATAGATATACTCACACATTAGCCTGCAGTGTAACAGTTTGCAAGACACATAGTTTACTAAACACAGATGATTTTATACCAGCCTTCATGTGGAGGCCTGCCACACACTATCAGTTCAATAGCTTTTCCAGTCATCTAAAAAAGAAGTTGTGTGCTGAGTGTAAACAAAACCTTCTTGTGGGTTCACATCCACGATTACATTACATGGAGTTACGATGGATCATGTAACACAACATATGCCAATAGCTTTCCCCTTCAAAAGCAGCATGACAGAATCCAGTAGACAAACACAACGTAAACCAGTGGGTAGTTTAAGAGAGGCTAGACTGGGAGATGATCTGTGTGAGTATATAAAGGCTCACCCCTTTGCTGCAGTGATCACCAGGATGTTATCTGGATCCTGGAAGTTAACTGTTATGCACCTACCACCAAACTGCCAGGCAGAACAGCTAGTGGATTGTAACTTACTGTTCAGAAAATCCCTTCCTTTTGCTGTATCTCAATCAGACCAAGAAGGAAAAGCAAAATCTAGCCTGTAGCACTGATCGCTTTGATTCTTTGCATCTCTGTGGATGCGATTCTGAGCTGAACAGGAGCTGGCACTAACGTCTTCCAGAGGAAAACTGTTGCCTCTGAGGGCTGCGTGCTCCTCTCACTGGAACATGTACTCGGTGGATATTGAGGTTGGACTCAATGATCCCAGAGCTCTCTTCTAACCAAATCGATTCTGTGTGATTCTGTGAGAGCTATTTGAGATCTCTGGCTTCTTGGTCATGCTGAGTCCTGAGCTCAGTGGGAGCTCGGTGCCAGCTGCAGGAACAGGATTTGGATCCTTTGGCAGGTGAGATCTTGCCTCTAATTCTGGTATGATGATCATGAGACCTCCTCCCAGCTCCTGCTGAGTTTGAGCTGGACCAGGAGGCTGGGTGACCCAGCACTTGTCACTCTGATCTGGCAGAAAGAGAGGTCCTAGTGCTGGTCCTGGATGTCCTCCCTGGTGGGGTCTCTTAACTCCTGATGTGTTCAGAGCTCAGAGGGATCTGTGACAGTCCTGCCTGCCACAGAGGTGAAATAAATGCCATTAACATGAAGGATTAGCCAATGCAAATAGAAATATTTGCCTGAAGAAAGAGATATATTCTAGCACCCCTCCTGACTTCAAGCCCTGGCTTAGTACAGATATTTAAATCCTATGTCTTGCAGTGTGTACGTGAGCACTAAATGGATGTAGACATTTTCATTGACTGAAGGTCAGATTATAAGAGGTTGTGCAGGGAACACG